TATTATTAAAACTTTTTGATATCACTTATGTTTACGGAATAATCGCCTGGGCACACTTAACGATTACACCCTGTATATAAAATATAATATTGTGTATGTGTGAGTACATTTCCACTTACAATATAACATACTAACACTTTCTTTTATTATACTTAAAGCTATAAAAACATATTTTAATTACCTGGACGTTGCGGACGTATTGCAACGTCCATATGGTCTCGAAGGGATCAAATAATGTGTGAAAATCGTGAACGTTTAAATCAAAGTACTTAAAGCTAATTTACCAACAGGTAATTTTCATTTTTGTTTTTGTTTTTAATTGTTTAACTACACGTATCCTTCTGTCTTACGCCTGTCTTTCTTACGTATGCTTAGAGGTGGAAGGGTGAGAAACTGGTGCTCAATAACAGGTTAATCCTAATATGGACACCAGACTTCCATAAATGAAACTATATTTAATAACATGTGAGGACCATAGGTATACTAAGGTTGTTTTCTGGAAGATAATAAAGACATTTTCACCTGACTAGCTCGGAAAGTCTTTTTTCTCAAAATCCGCGTGGAAAATGTTTTTGAAATTCGAACTTCATGGACTTCGATGGAAGTAGTGTAGTGCACTTTCAATTAAAAAATAACAAAGTGACACGCGATTTGTAGAACATTATTTATGTAATATAAATCCATTGTAAAATTTATTCTCATTAATGGTTGACATTAAATTGACAACGAGAACTAATTTTGTTTATTAAAAGTGATTTGTTATAGTTCAACTGTTTTTCTTTCGTTTACTATTTATTTACCCCGCTATAGTGAGGTGAAAAGTTTCTCACTCTTAAATAAGGCCACATGCACAATGACCATATTTCAGGAAAGACATATTCTTTAGGAGCAGTAGGAATAATTGTTTCGAGTTAATTTGAAAGTGGGTTTATTATACCCCAAATGTAATAACAAAGCCATATGTGATAATTCGTCAAAAGTGATTTAATAACATGAAAGTCACAAAGATAATAACCGCATGAGACCGAGAAAAACAACTATAGCACCTTCAGTTTAGAATCGGGAAGTCATTTAGCACCCGGAAGCCGAATTTGCTTAGGCAACAAGTATAGTTTTATAGCCGTAGTATATGCGAAAAACATGAAAACAAAAACATTATATAAAAATATATATCACATAATGTTTTGTCTAAAGAAACTGAACAAGGAAACACGGGTAACAAAAAAGAGTAAAGTAAAAACCTACAGATTTACCGCCTGCGCCTTAAAGCGCATTACAATTCAAATCAAAGCTCATTTCGGACGAATATCGAGTATGGTGTTAGTAACATATTCCTTATAAATTATATTAGTAAAACTCACAAACAGTAAGTTACATTTCGTAATATATAAGAACAGTTCTAACACACTTAGAGTAGCAGTAGAGTTCCTTGTGATAGAGTTCGTCCAGGGAAGTACTGCCATCTTACCTAATTCTGCCGCCAAGCAGTGACGTGAGCATTACTGCGTTCCAATCAAAGTCAAATAATCTTGTCACAGTAATGTTACGGCTAAATAGTTTTCAAACAAATTAAATGACATTTCGTCTCTATTTCTGGTTATATACTCGATGCTAGTTGGTGACTACGCACGACACGCGGTTCTGTGCTCGATGACACACATTAACCTTTTTCTTTCTCTGATCTAAAAAACTTCGAGGTCATAGGTTTGTAACAAGTGGCGCTGCGCCGCTGTTAAAGCCAAAAATAAAGATCTGTAACAAACGCATAGAAAAATTGTCATGATCCATAAATTACTATTCAAAAATACGAGTCTGTCCCAAAAGTATCCGACCATCGTCCGATATTCCGCACTGGATCTATTAATGATCATCCGGCTCGTGGCATCCTTCATGGCTCCAGAATTCACTCAAATCTAATTCAAAGTCTATTACAAGGCATTTAAGTTTATTTGAAAAGAGCAATCTCTAGAGTTTCTTGCTCGTTCTTCTCAGGGAAGACAGCGTAATGAACTTAAATGTGACGTTTTCAAGTGTCAATTTATTTTACCTATGGAATAAATGATTCTTCGACTTGGACTTTGACTTCAAAGTAATCTTCATTCGACTGAACAACACGCTTCCACCGACGCTTCCGCATCTACCCCCGTCCTCCGTCCGAGATCCGTCCGAAACAATTACTGTCAAATAAATATTACTCGACCGATTTAAAAAAACGCATGATGCGAATGAAGCTTCATACTTCACATTGTCTTTGATTAAGTTAAGTACTATTTATTTGACTGTAATTGTTTCGGACGGGTGTTGGACAGAAAACGGGAGTAGATCCCCTGCTTCGGGATGTGGAAGCACCGGTGGGAGCGTGTTGTTCAGTCCAATGAATATTACTTTGAAGGATGCCACGAGCCAGATGATCATTAATAGACTTAGTGCAGAAAATCGGACGGAGTTACGGTAGTCAGTTTTCGGAAGAGCCTTTAGTGCACAAGTCGCATTTTTTAAATCGTATCTATGTCGTCAAACCGACGCCCTTTGAGCAAAATTTTCAATCTTGGGAATTTGCACCATGGATGCTCCAACAGGTCAGATGATAAACAAAGAAATTTTACGGTGAAGTTTTGAAAAATTTGAGTGACGCAATGCGAAGAAAACGGCCGCAATTTTGGACGAGTGTCATTGCTTGGATTTTTCACCACGATAATGCGCCAGCGAACTCATAGAACCTTGTCCAATAGATTTTGACAAAACATAATAAGACTATTAGACTTCACTAACCTCCGTACAGTCCCGACGTAGCCCCTGCGATTTTTAGCTGCTCCCAATATTGAAAATTCCGCTCAAGGGCGTCGTCATTATGACGACACAGAGACTATTCTGAAAACTGAGTTCCAGAACTGCTTGGGGATGTACAAGCACCGGTGGCAGCATGTTTTTCAGTTGAATAGAGATTACTTTGAAGGATACTACGAGCCGGATGATGATGACCAAGCGCGGAAGAACGGATGAAGGCCGGATAGATTTGAGACAGACTTCGTACACTCATACTTCTAACGTAACACTACAAGATAAACATCAAATATGAATTATACATACCTACATAACAAATTCTTTTGCACTACACGGCATAGAATATTTGCATAATGCATATATTAAACTCAAAACTTTATTTATTTACCTTATTTAAGTATCTAAAACGGGAAATGTTTAAAATAGTTTATACGGTTAAGTGTGCCCAGGTGTTTATTCCGTAAATATAAGAGATATAAAAAACCTTTAAACTGGCATCGAAAGTACATTACCTAATAAGTAAAATGATAGATAGATAGAGCACGTTTATTGACTTTCCACAAGCACACACTACAATAGGAAATAATAAGTAAGAAAAAAAGAAGAAAAATAACATACAAAACAAACAAAATTACAAAAACGAAGGTAATCAAATAAATATACGTAATAAACAAATTATGTCATATCATTCGTTCATTTAATTCAACTACATTTTGAAATAAAAGTATATAATCTGGCAGAGTATACAATTTATTAAATAAATAACTACATATAATAAATTTATCTGAATATGAATTACAAAATAAAATCAACACATATTTACTAACACTAAGCTATGACAATACAGAAAAATTAATTAAATTAAAAATTAAAGTGAACATACACACACTCCCACATACACACACACACACACACACACACACACACACACACACACACACACA